AGATAATCTCTAAATTCATGTGGGATATAGTCAAGGTCATATTTTAGCTCTCATGGCCTTGTTTAGTGAAAGTATAAATGCTGGTGTGCACCTTTCCTGATTTTAAACCATTCAGTGGTCCCTTGTTCTAGTTGAACAATTGCCTGTTGTTCTAAGCACAGGTTCCTCATGAGCACAATCAAGTGTTCTGAAATACTTATTCTTCACAGCATTGTCCATAGCTTGCCATGATCCACACAATCAAAAGCCTTTGCATAGTCAAATTAAGCACAAACATCCTTCGGGTATTCACTGTGTTCAGCCAAGATCCATCTGATGTCAGCAGTGATATCCCTCATTCTACATCTTTGTCTGAATCCGGCTTTAACCTCTTCTGGCAGCTCTGTGCCAATGTACTTCCTGTTGCAGCCATTTTTTTTTATTATCTTTAGCAAATTTTTACTTGCATGGAATATTAATGATACAGTCTAATAATTTCTGCATTCTGTTGGGTCACGTTTCTTTGGAATGGTCACAAATATGGATCTCTTCCAGTCAGTCGGCCAGGTAGCTGTTTTCCAAATTTCTTGGCAGAGATGAGTGAGTGCCTCCAGTGCCACAGCAGTTTGTTGAGAAATTTCAGTTTGTATTCGATCTACTCCCAGTGCCTTGTTCTTTGTCATCACCTTCAGTACACATTGGATTTCTTCTTTCAGTATCATTGGCTCTTGATCACATGCTACCTCTTGAAATGGTTGGACATTGGCCATTTCTTTTTGGTACAGTGACTCTCTATATTCATTTTCTTTTCATGCTTTCTGCATCTTTTAATTTTTTGCCCAAAGACTCCTTCAATATTACAAGTCGAGGCTTGACGTTTTTCTCAGTTGTTTCAGCTTGAGAAATGCTGAGCATGTTCTTCCCTTTTGGTTTTCTAACTCCAGATCATTGCACATTTCATTACAATATTTGACTTTGTCTTCTTGAATTGACCTTTGAATATTTTTGTGCAGCTCTTATACCTCCTCATTTTTCTACTTGCTTTAGCATCTCTATGCTGGAGATCAGGTTTCAGACTCTTTTTTGACAAGCATTTGGTCCTTTTTTTTCTTTATTGCCTTCTTTTTTGCTTCTTTCTGTATGATGTCATTCATGTTATCCCACAACTCTCCTGATCTTCTGTCTTTAGTGTCTGATTCATAAAATCTGTTCTTAACATGGTCATATTTTGGCTCTTGTGGACTTGTTTTAATCTTCTTCAACTTCAGGCTGAACTTGCACATGAGCAATTGATGGTCTGTTCCACAGTCTGCTCCTGACCTTGTTTTGGCTGATGGTATGGAGCTTTTCCACTGTTACTGTAGTCACTTTGATTTCTGTGTATTACATCTGGTGAGGTCCACATGTATAGTTGTCTTTG